TAGAGTCATGGTCATTTGTGTTAGAGTCAACAAGTTTGACCATATGATCATCTGCACTAAAATAAAAGAAATCATCTCAAGCCCCTAAAAGAAAATGATCATTTATTCCAAAGTCAACAAGGTTGATCATTTGTACCTCAAGAAAAACATGTTCATATGTACATAGACAAACATGATCATATGTACTCAATTCTAAGTGACCATGTGTGCTTAGACGAAGAACTTATCACTTGTGCACAGACAAAAAATTGATCACATATGCCTAGGCAAAGAGTTGGTCACATATTTATAGATGAAGAAGACCTCTTATGCTATGCTACCACATAGATTATTCTCTTAACGGTCACATCATAACATTTGTTTCAGCACAAGGAATGAAAGGATTACGTTCCATACATATATTACAATTCCAATAATTCTATTATCAACAGACAAATGATTTGCAAGGATAAATGATTGAAAAGTCAAATATTTAATGCGTATATAAGGGAATCAAATTTGAATGTTAAAGATGACAAAAACACACCATATATTTTTCAATACTTTTGAGCGACTGGATAACCTTTTAATTTAGTTATGTAAGTTTTTCAAATCATTGTAATAATACCAAAAAAATATACCAGATACAAGTGTTTTTTATTCTTTATTTTTTTAAAGAAAAGTTGAACACTTGCACTCGAGATTTAATAAGTTTTCCAATATGTGTGAGTTTTTGTAAGAAAACATTTTTGAAAATTTCAAATTTCTCTAGTGTGAGGCAAGAAAGTCTTTAAAAGGTTTAAGGAAAAGAAGTCTTTATACTTGCAAGGGAAGAAAATGTTCTAGTGTGACACAAGGAAAGCCATGTTTCGATTATCTTAATCGTTATCTATAATCAGCTTTGATTATAGTAGAGATTACTCAAGTGTAAAAGGGTTGGACTAGCTTCTAGTTATCGAGATTAACCAATATAAATTTTTTATATAAATTTCTTCATATTTTTTTTATTTTCTACTGCCATATAATTTGTGCTTGAGAATATATAAAAAATTCAAAAACCAACAGAATTCAACCACCATATTCTTTCTTGTATTTTTATCACCTTTAATAGAAAAGTCTGACTGTTCGGGAGTTGTTCGAATCCACAACATACCATTTATTCACCTTTAAAAAAGAAATTCTGACTATTAATTTTCTAAACCTAAAAAATATAAAGAATGGAAAAAATATTATTAACTTTATATATATATATATATATATATATATATATATATATATATATATATATATATATATATATATATATATATATATATATATATATATATATATATATATATATATATATATATATTAATTTTTGTTAATTCAATTAGTAGAGTTGCATGAACATTCAACTGTCGGAGTATGAATTTGAACCATGGCGTTTCATTTATTTCTATAATAAAGGTGTAATCCATACTATTAAACTATTAATTATACAGTTTTTAATGGTGTAATTGTGTTGTAAATTTTTTAGATTTTTTTTTAATTACTACACTATACTTTCTTATTAATGATCACGACCACTCAAAGTTATATATAACATCCTACAACATTTTGAATATACAACAACACAAAAAAACCGTTGTGAAATCCAAAAAAAAGCCATTGCCTTTACATATGAGAACAGTTTTCATGATGTTCTAAACCAAGGCGTTGTTTTAGCCTTTAGGAACAGTTATTTAGCCAATGGCAACGCCTTGTTCAGAGTCGTTGCTGTTATTTTATATAGAGAACGGTCTAGAGCAGCAACGGCTGGACTCCGTTTTCAAATTTAAACTGTTGCAATTGTTGTTTATTAGAAAACGGCTATTTTATGGAATATAGCAACATATCTTAGCCGTAGCCTATTCTAAACCGTTCTAATGGAGGCTTAAGTTCATTTTTTCTTCATAGGTTATAGCAACGCCTTCTTTACTACAGACACACTTTATAACTGTTGCAAAAAAATTTATTTTATTTTATAAACCAAATAAATTCTTTTTTTTTAATAAAATAAAATATTATTTTATTTTATAAACCTGATAATAACACCATTCACAATTTTTTTATATAATAATATTCAAATACAAATTTTAAAATGTTCTTGCATTTAAAAAAAAATACATGACATAGTCCATTTAAATATCATAATATAAATCATTGATTCACAATCAACAAAACATCTTTAAATTGCATATCGTAATGTCAACAAAACATCTTCAAATTATATATCCCAATGTCAATCATCATTTATAGTCAAAATAACATCTTTAATCTATAAAATTAAACTTAAACATCTACATCTCTACATCTACGTTTCTTCAACTTCAAATTCAAAATCTTCATTGATATTATCATTCATGACCTGCAAAATAAAAATAATATAACTTAAATAAGATTATTATTCGAAGGATCTAAAATAAAATAATCTACTCCAAGTAAATAATCCACATATATAATGCATAAGCAACACATACAAAATAACAAAATAGTAGTACGGGCACTGTGTTAGAGCAAAATACCAAAACATACAAAATCCCTTAAAACATAGGAATGTCACAAATCTTACCTGATCATTAGTTGGAGCATGTGTTGATGTAGAAGAACGTAAGACACTGTTAGCATCAGTTGCAGGAGTTGATATCAAAGCTGCCAAAGCCTCTATATTCAACTCGGAGGTATTTTGATTCAAAACAGTCTTAAGAAGAAGCTGAATTTTCCTATCAGTTTCTTCTTTATCTTGACGATGTTTTTCTTCCATCTCTTGTAACCTGTCATTAAATTGTCTAACTTCAGCAGCATGCTCTCTTTTAATTTTTGCAATTTCTTCGTTTCTTTTCAAGAGAGTCGGTGTTGTGGTTCTTCCGTGGCAACGCAATCTTCCAAGTTTTTGTTTGCCCAATACGCTTTCAAAAGCTTCTGAAGAAGGTTTTCCATGATTTTCAATCAAGTCTTGAAGCTTTATTTAACATACATAATATAGTAGTAGTAAATAAAAGGCAAAGGACAAAACAATCAAAATATCTACTTGTTCTTTAACTATTATCACATGTTTTATGATTAATTTCAATTTTCATCAATATATGTATAATGATAATGGTTATTGTGGAAATGTATCCATCTATGTTGCTGACACGTAGAAAATTGGACAATTGTCATTTGAACATTTCTCATAATATACTAGTCTGATCCACTCCTAACTAGAACTCCTAACAGAAATAACACTTAACAATAATAACTTACAATTGCATGGTTGGTTTCTTGATCCAACGCCTTTCCTTTCCTACTTTGTCGAGTAGCAATGAACATTTCAGCTTGAGTCGGAGGTACTTTATCTTCATTATTTTCACGCTAAACCAAGTAAAACAAGAGTATGAGATTATTAATAAAATATAAAATTATAATTTAATATTCAATTAAAATATAATTTAAAAAAGAATACCATTTTTTCTCTTATAACAGTAAAACCTTTATTCCCCATTCGAGGTCTCCATTTCAGTTGAGCTATATTTTCGGCATTTTGATGACTGACTTCCTACATTTTCATGCATTGATGCTAGTAAGTCAAGACTATGACAGTCTATACATACACACACATATCCATACACACACATATCCAACACTTAGAATCCATACATACACATTTGCAATATACAAACCAACCATCCAATTTCATTCATATCACTCATCATCCAAACCAAAATAGGTCCTTTGTCAAAGCTTATAACTTGTCCTAAAAATCAAGATTCAATCCAAGTCCAAGACATGTTCATAATTCATACAACAAAATTTAGCATACCTACCATATACATACAATGCAAGTCAAGCATACCGTTCACTTTAACACACCAATACACTAACTATTTTCCTAACTCTTTTCCAATTTATAACAATTGTTTCAATCACCTCTAATCTCCAAATAATTAACATAATAGTTCAAACAATCCAAACTAACGTCAACTAATTTCTAAGTCCAATTAACTTACTAAGTGTCACTAACATCAGCTCCCAACATCATCTAACTCTACCAAATTATGTTTTTAGTTCTAGTGAATAAGGTTTGTCTCCGTGAATGGAACAACTGATCAATTAATACAAATAACATTCTATAAGATTAATCAATTGATAAGCAACAATCTAATCATGATAGTAACAAAAGAAAATAAAGTAATTTATATGTTAACTAACAGTACTTAACTGCATAAAATCTAACGTTTCAACAATGATCATGTGAGTAACTCAGCCTCGTTATGGAAGTTTGATCAACGATTATTCGCTTGAAACACTTCGCATTGGTGATGAGTATTATGACACAGAACAAATTTGTGGAAAATCAAAAGAAATGTGCTTTTGCACAACAAATGGAGTATTTATGCCATGTTCAGAGGGGAGTAGAACAAGGTATTGCATAATGTTGTACAGGTTGAGTTGGTTGATCCTAGTTCGTAGCCAGGCTACACATTAAAAGGGGGATGTTGCTTTAATAGGACATATTAGTGTTATCAACAAAATCTGAAGTTTAATTAGTCAAACTAATTACCATAACTAATCAATTAATTTAATCTCTAACTCCTACATACTATCTACCAGTTCAATTAACCCAATTACCTAATTCCAAAACTCACTAACAGTCAACATTCAAACTAAGACCATTATTGCACATATGTAGACTTACTAGAGTTTTGTCATCTCTCCAATACTCCAATAACTTTCTAAAATCTTCTTCTGGTACCTATTGTGGACGATTTTTTAGCTGCTCGCGCAAGGTTTTATACTTACTAAAATGCTTCCTTTTAAGCGAGCATTTGTATCGTCTCCAAGCATCATTTGTAATAGCAAATACAACCTTCTTTCCTTCCTTTGGGATATTGTATTTTTCCTGCAAAAATATATATTTAGAACAATATATACATTAAAGTATGTTAAAAAAACACAAAATCAAATAAAAAACTAGTTACATTGACATAATCCCACACGGGATCCAAATTGTGTTCCTCTCAATGCTTAACCAAATCAATCCAACTAGTGAAAGTGAGAGGACATAAATCTGAACTTCTTCCTAGTGTCCCCAAAAAACTACTGAGTTCAGACACTATCTTTTCATCTGGCCCAATTGGTTGTTCTTCTTCATTCAAGGTGATCTCTTGTCTATCTTTGAATTGTCGTCCATGAATTTTTTGACATAACATCTTTCCCCGTTTTTTTGTTAATCCTGAGGATGAAGCACCTAAGGTATTACCTTCAACTTTGTTTACATATATTCCCTCAACTTCTTTACTATTGTAGATGCTATCATTCTCCATATATTCTTCCATTTCATTTTCTTCTGTATCTTCATCGTCGAATTCCTCTACTCCATTTTTTTCCTTATTTTTATCGAGACATTCGGTAAGGGGCATGGTTGGACACTTTAGAAGACTTTTTTTCTTCTCAAAGGATTGTTGAGACTTGTTCATAGTATTGTTAAGGCTTTGCAAAACCTGAATGTAAAAGAATAATGAGCTTCATATCAACCAATAATAATTAAAAATTCATTTAAGAAATCAATACATTACTATAAGAGGTTGTCCCATTTTTTAAAATTAACTTTCCATATATTTATTATTAGTATTAGAATTAGAAAGTACTATAAATTACCTTTTTGGTTTGATCACTGGTGTTCTTTGAGACTTGTGATTCTATTGAACCTTTAACTTGATGATCCGCCGTTGACTTCAATTTCTTTTTAGTATTATTATTCAGAGTAAACACTTTTCTTGGCTCAGTAATTTCCTTTGTGGCCTCTACTTCCATTTGCCTCTTATTACTATTGAGAACATGCACTTTGCTCGGCTGGGCAACTTTATTAGAAATTTCTACTTCCGATTGGCTTCTAATGTTACTATTCGGTACAAACACTTTACTTGGCTCAACCATTTTCTTAGAGACTCCTACTTTCAATTTCTTTCGATGGTCCAACTTTTGAATGTTTCCAACATTGGTGTTTATAGGATTGCTTCCTTGATTTGTTGGGTTGTCTTTTAAAGCTTTTTCATTTTCAACCTTGAAAATTGAGACCTATGAAAACAAAATCGTTAGATTTGTCGGCAGAGAATAGAGAAAGTTGAAGGATAACGTTTACACACACACAAGTTGAATGAGAGTCTGTAGTTGAAGGAAACTCTTGATAGGGCGCAGAAACCTACAACGATGAAAACTCTTGATAGGACGCAGAAACCTACAACGAAGAAGAAGGATAAGCTTTTGTGTAGTCAAATTTAGTTAGGTTGGCTTCTGTGACATAGAATTTGAAGGGGCGGGGCTGAACAACGAGATAGAAGATAGGGTTGGGTTTAGGAGAAGCTCGTACGATGAAGAAAGGATTAGGGTTACATATGGGATGAAGAACAAAATGTTAGGGTTAGAATCAATTTGGGATGAATGTTTCTTTTCTCTCTGTGCGTTAGAATCAATTTGGGAGGGAACTGAAAATTTTACGCAGGTTTGGGAGGGACAATGAAAAGTATACACATATGAGAACGGTGTTAGTAAATAATATTTATTAAAATAATTAAAAATTATATAAGAACGGCTCTAGCCGTTGCTAATAGGAGTCGTTCTCATTGTCCTCTACAAGAACGGCTTTGCGCCGTTGTATAAAATTTACAAAAAATTATATAAGCTACCGCAACAAATTATATAATTAGTTGCCTATTACTCTCTACAAGAACAATTTTTTTACTTCTTGAAAATTAGGCGTTACTATAGAGTAAAAATGTTGTAGTGACATGATTTATTGTCCATTGTCCATTCATCCATTTTATATGTTCATTTTTCGAGCTCCTATTATGAAGTTGACACATAACATATTTTTTGTTTTCTTAGTTAACTCAAAGATTAATTTGGCTCTTTTCCAATTTAAGGGAGAGGAAATATCAATTTTGTGATCAATATATTAGTATTATAAACCTCCTAAAAAATGATTAAATTTTTAAATAATTATTATTAGTTTTATGAAATAATGATTATTTGTTGAGGTCTGGACTTTTTGTGTATTTGATTGTGTATTTTGTATATACATACTTCTTTAGATGACTCTCATAGATCAACCTTTTGATACAGGTCGTGTCGAGTGTCTATATATGTAATGATACACACAATATATCCTCTTAGTTATGTTGAGCTTACTCCTTTAATTCATGGGTAGGTTGATAAGGTTGGAAGAGAATGCATACCGGAATATCCTCCAAGGTTTCTTCGTGGATGAAGTAAAATTATATAAATACTCTTTTTGTTGTCATTCTCTCATTCATTTTGTCCTCCTCTTCAATCACAACTGTTGTAAGGGGGCTTCTTGTAATCTTCTTTCTTTATTGCATATATTTCCTTCATGGCTAGGTAGCTTGTTTTCCTTTTTCTCAGCTTGCTTAAAGTGTCATATGAATAACATGCTAACAAGTTAGAAGATAAACTTAGAGTTAAATTTGTCACTAATGTGTGTAAGGCCAAAAATATGTTAAAGTTCTTTATTTTTTATGTATCGTCGTTAAAACATTCAATGAAGGAGCTAAATAACTTATCCTACTTCTATCTAAATTCGACGAGGCACATTGAATTCCAATGTCTTTTCTGACTTGTGGAGAATCTTAAGGCAAAATTTTGACCTAGCAGCTTTCACAAACAAATTGACCTCCTAGGGAGGTGGGAGATTCCTAATAGTCCAATATTTTTTTAGGGTGTATGAAAAATAAATACACTTGAGGGTATCGAAGCAATTTGGAGTTCATTTCTCCGTTGTAAGAACTCAAGTGCTAAATTTTTTGATGTCTCTTTTGTCTGAATACTTTCAATTTGCTTGAGAACAAGCAAGTGTTCTATTTTGAGAAAATTAATAACATATAAAATATTCGTTATTTAGTTTTTTTATTGTACAACAAAGTTGCTATTTTGAGTCTAATTTTAGAAACTTTTTACCATATTTTTTTATTTCAATTTTCAGGAGAAAAAAATAGGAAACATACGAATTTTAAAGGCCATAGATAAATAATTTGAAACCTAAGGTTAAACTGCTTGAAGTTCAAAGTCAAATGAAGCCCTAAAATACCAACTGATTAGGAATGACAAAACTGAAACACGACCAGACCGTGTTAGGAAATGCAACATGTTAGTGGGCACCTAAAAATATGAAGAATCTCAAAATCCAAAATACGAATGAAATTTTTAGCAGTTAAAATGTCCAACCCATGTTGAGAAAAATGGTCATGTTGCACTCGGCTTTCGTAACAATTTGGTTTAAAACTACATTAAGAAGCCAACTCAATATTAGTTGTCATTATGTATCCTCTACTATAAATGGGATTATAATCCTTAAGTCTTTGCATCACTATATATCATACTTTCATACAATATTTTTATTACAAACTTCTTAGTTTAGATATTAGCATAATTTTAAGGTCTTCTTTTGGTTCTTTGTTGTTAGCTTCCGCTTAATAGAATATTGATTTATGCAGATATTTCTTTTATTTGCTTCTTTTACTTGTTTTCTTTATTTGATCTCTTTATTATTTATTTTAGTTATGTGTTTCAACATATGCATTTTTTAAATGTTATTATGGGTCTATTTATTTTATCTTTAAAAATATTTATTTATTTTTGAAAAAAAATTCTAATTTAGTAAAAAAAAATTAACTCACTTTTTTTATAATTCAAAAGATTAATTTTGAAATCCAATAACATAAATATACACTATTGATGATTAAAATATAGTAAAAGTCACATAATCTTTTAAAAGAGATATCTCAAAAATAATTTTTATGAGAAGTTTTTCAAAATAGCTTCAATTTAAGTAATCTTTTGAAATTTGGATATCAAAAAAAAAGTTATAGTAAAAGGATGAAATACCTAAAACAACATTTATAAAAAAATGATTTAAACTAATTTTTATACAAAGATTTTTTTTTTAATTGTTAATATTTTTTTTTAAAACGAAAATATGTAATACTATAAAAATCATTTTTAAAAACAAAAGTAGAAACAAATAGACTCTATGCCCGAGTACTCCCCCTATTTCGGGGTAGAAAATACTTTGATAACATGCCATATATAAAATGGTTGTCGTTTCTCGTTATTATCAGGTAAAATAACTTAATATAGTCTTACTAATTTTCAGTCTTGTAATTATGTGTTTTGCATTGCAACAAGTAATCATATGAAATAAGGAATACATGAGTTCAATTATTAGAATCACAAGGCATAACGGGGTGAAATAGAGAATGCAAAACTGTGACTATGTGTTATTATATATTACTCATGGAAGTACGTAGTTACATGATCGAAGATAACTAGGTGAAATAGAGAAGATATAAAGATCCAATTACCTAAACGGTAGGACATGACGTGATGCATTTTTGAGAAGTTTTTCTGACAAAAATAATGATGCATGTACTTAATGAGATTTAAGTTTACACTTACCACAAAAAGTGGTAGTCGTTATAGTTAAAGTATACTTTATAAACCTGAAAGAAGATTAAAGTTACGATAAGTGTTGTTCATATATAAGAATTTTTAATCATAATAATAAGAAAAATCATAGTAGTAGTATTTTAGTCTATCAACTTAACAAGTAATCATCCCAAGACATTTTAATTATTGTTATTGTCATTATAGCCCTAACAAATTAACCTTTTAATTGTTCAGGTAATCATCACACCAATAGAAACCAATACTCAACAATGTCCCAGTGAGTTCAATCTTTTTATGTTATGCAATGTAACTGTGCACTTGCAATTGTATCTTTGTACGATCGAATCTAACGAGAGAGACTCTCATTTATAGAATAGATGAAATCTCTTGATTTTCTATCTTTACTCAAGCAATTCTAGGGATTGTCAGTGGATAAGTGTTGACTTGTTAATGTAACTTAATTTGAGATTTTTGGGGGGAGCTTATCCATTTTGATTATTCTCCACGTAGTTCTTAGTTGTGCAAGCACCTTGGTGCTTCTGGATAAATGATTAATACGTGTCGTGGCTGGCAAAACGACAGAGTCACCATCATCCTTTATATTCCTAAAGAACATGAAAATAATGATAAAACCTAAAAGCTAATGGTGAAAGACTAGGGCCAAAAATGTGTTAAAGTTCTTTATTTTTTATGTATATTGTCATTAAAATGCTCCACGAAGGAGCTAAATAACTTATTCCACTTCTATTTAAATTCAACGAGGCACATTGAACTTTGACGTCTTTTCAGACTTGTGGAGAACCTTGAGGCAAAATTTTGACCTAACAGCTTTCACAAACAAATTGACCTCCTAAGAAGGTAGGAGATCCCTAATAGTCCAAAGTATTTTAGGGTGCATGTAAAATAAATGCGCTTAAGGGCGTCAGATGCAATTTGGAGTTCATTTGTCTGTTGCATGAGCTCAAGCGCTAAATTTCTTGATGTATCTTTTGTCTTAATACTTTCAATTTTCTTCAGAACAAACATATGTTCCAGTTTGAGAAATCTAATGACATGTAAAGTAGTCGTTATTTAGTTTTTTATTTTACAACAAAGTTGTTATTTTAAGTCTAGTTTTAAAAACTTTTTATTATATTTTTTTATTTCAATTTTCAGAAGAAAAAGATAGGAAACATACGAATTTTAAAGTCCATAGAAAAATATTTTGAAGCCTAAGGTCAAACTACTCGAAGTTCAAAGTCAAATGAAACCCTAAAACACCCACATATTAGGAGGGACAAAATTGAAACACGACCAAACCGTGTTAGGAAATACAACATGTTAATGGACACGTAAAAACATGAAGAATCTCAAAATCCAAAATACAAATGAAATTTCTAGCAAGTAACACGCAAACCCATGTTGAGAAAAATGGTCATGTTGCACTCCACAATCGTAACAATTTGTTTTAAGACTATATTAAAAAGTTTTAAGAC